CTCTCCTCCCACCAACACACTCACTGCCTCTCCTCCCACCAACACACTCACTGCCTCTCCTCCCACCAACACACTCACTGCCTCTCCTCCCACCAACACACTCACTGCCTCTCCTCCCCCAACACACACACTGCCTCTCCTCCCACCAACACACTCACTGCCTCTCCTCCACCAACACACTCACTGCCTCTCCTCCACCAACACACACACTGCCTCTCCTCCCACCAACACACACTCACTGCCTCTCCTCCCACCAACACACACACACTGCCTCTCCTCCCACCAACACACACACTGCCTCTCCTCCCCCCCAACACACACACTGCCTCTCCTCCCCCCCAACACACACACACTGCCTCTCCTCCCCCCCAACACACACACACTGCCTCTCCTCCCCCAACACACACACACTGCCTCTCCACCCCCAACACACACACTGCCTCTCCTCCCCCAACACACACACTGCCTCTCCTCCCCCCAACACACACACACTGCCTCTCCTCCCCCAACACACACACACACTGCCTCTCCTCCCACCAACACACTGCCTCTCCTCCCCCAACACACTCACTGCCACCTCGCACCCGCCCTACACTCCACATGTGCACCTCAACTCCCCACCTTCATAAGAACATAAGAATAAACGTAGCTGCAGAAGGCCTATTGGCCCATATGAGGCAGCTCCTATTTATAACCACCTAATCCCACTCATGTACATATCCTATCCACGCTTGAAACAATCAAAGGACCCCATCTCCACCACACCACCTGGCAACTGGTTCCACAAATCAACGACCATGTTACCGAACAAGTATTTACCCAGGTCTTTCCGAAGACTAAACTTATCCAGTTTATACCCATTGGTTCGTGTTCTGTCTTATGCTGATACTTTTATTACCCTATTAATATCTCCTTTGTTATGTCCATTCATCCACTTGTAAACCTCTATCATTTCACCCGTAACTCTTCGCCTTTCCAGTGAATGCAATTTAAGATTTGCTAATCATCCAGCATATGACAGGTTTCTAATTTTAGGGATTAACTTTGTCATCCTATGCTGGACACGTTCAAGAGTCCAGTGTCAATTTATATCCATTCTATAGAACAGCGACCAAAACTGAACTGCATAATCTAAAAAGGGCTTAACCAGAGCAAGATATATCTGAAGAACGACACCAGGTGTCTTGTTACTAACGCTTCGATTAATAAATCCCAGTGTCCTTTTTGCCCTTTTACGAACATTTATGCATTGATTTTTTGGTTTTAAATTCTTACTAATCATAACTCTCAGATCCTTTTCGCAATCTCAACACTTCTAGCTCGTATCTTGAAACTATCATCATTACTTACCCTCAAAACTTTACATTTGTCAGCATTAAACTGCATCTGCCAATCTTTTGACCAATCTTCTTCAAAACCCTATTTAGAGCTCATTGAAGTGATAGGCTTTTTCCGTGTTTATTTTCCTCCCGATTTTTGTATCATCGGCAAATTTGCAAATGTTGCTGCTCAAACCTGAATGTAATCATTTATATATATTATAAACAACAGAGGTCCCAGGACAGAGCCTCGAGGCACTCCACTTACAAAATTTTCCCACTCTTGACTTAACACCATTTATACTATTTCCTTTGTTATAGCCATGCCCTAATCCAGCTTAATATAACACCCCCAATACCATGAGGCTTTTTAATCAGTCTTTCATGTGGCACTGTATCAAAAGCTTTGCTAAAATCAAGGCACACAACATAACAAACCTTACCACTATCAATTGCCTCAACTATGCTGGAATAAAATGATAGCAAATTTGTTAAACATGAACAGCCATTTGTTAAACCATGTTGTGAATCATTAATTTATGTTTTTCAATACAAGACGAATTGTATTTGCAATTATCGATTCAAGTAACTTTGAATCGTGCTAGACTTTATCTCCATACCAACATGGGCTCAACCCAAGTTGATCATACCTAACGAATCTGTTACTGTTTATGACAGGAAGACAATGATGAAAGACAAAAGAGAAGTGTGGGCTCTTTCCTGTCTGGAAGAGTTTATCATCCTGAAAAATGTTTCTATACAAACTTGAGAGCAAGCTGATGCTGCTGGGTAAGTGCCGAGGCGGGTGACGGGGTACCTCACGGAAAGGAAACAAAAGGGGTAACTTTGAGAGAAGTTAGAAATGCGAGATCTCACACGATGGGTCCCATAGGAATCGGTACTGGGGCGCATTCTGGCCCTAACATATAACAATATCTTGCCAAAAGAAAAAGTGTCATATCTTGTTTGTTGAAGATGCAAAGTTGGTGAGAAGAATTATAAGAGAAGTCGAGAGCGAGAGGTTACAAGGAGAACTACCCTTGACATGCTTCATGGATGGTTGGAATAGTGATTGTTAGACTTTATTAAGGATAGGAACATGAGAAAGATAATTCAGGTAACATTACAGATTGAAAGGAAAATAGATTCCTGAATCACATCGAGAGGATTACGTATACAGTATCACCAAATCTGACACCAGAGGGAACACAAAATAACGTCCGTGGCATACGCAACTGGCAATTGTTAGGACAACCTTTAGAAGTCTGCACAAGGAGACCTTTAGAACCCTGTATGCAACCTACGTAAGACCAACCAGTAGGTCTAAAGCTCTCACTTGAACTAAATATATAAAAAAAATCTACAACAAAGTTTAGTTCATTTGCGACATAGTTTGCATCAGAGCAATGGGGACTTTACTACCAATGACCGGCTGACAGAACTCAACTTCTTCACATTAAAGCAAAGATGAAAAGAGGAGACATGATAACGTATAATATATTATAGGAATAGGCAGAGGGAACGATTAGGTCATGTTCATATTATATACCGTTGGACTAAAGGTCACTAATATATGCTACAGACATGATCCGGAGAGATGTCGGATAGAACGTTTAAAGTGTAAGAATCGCAAACAAATTGAAGGATTTATAATGTGAACTCGTTCAGAAATTACAACAGAAAATACGAGTAACTTCAGAAAATCATTGCATTAATTGACTATAAGCTGGAAAAGCGACGCTTGGTAGTTATAAAGATCAACTCTGCAAGCACATCTAGGTGAGAATTTTATTAACATCTTTACTGACAAAATTAATTACAATTTTGCCTAATCTGAGTAATTCAATTAGGTCTTATTAGGGTGAAAATGATGCTGGTATTCACTGTCACACATGACTGGGTCATACACAAGAGAATAGGTCTAAACTGTAGGCAGAAGCACATATATATCATGATTACAATCAATGTTTTAATGTATGAATATGTAAAATCAACTTTCTATTGTGCACTGCCACACAAGGACAAGGATGGGTTCATGAGAGATGCAGCTTAAAAATAATATAAAATTGTTCTTCATTCTTTAAAATAGATAAGCAAATTTTTTATAAATTGTTAGGATGTCGTCCAGTATACCATGCAGATTCCATGAAATAGTTACACAGTTGGTGGTATAATAGGTCAGGAGGTCTTTAAATCTTTTACTGTTACACATTCAACAGCATAGTGTTCTAGTGAATATATTAGAGGATTATCACAGTTTACAATCTGAATATGCTGGTAGTGGCTCAGCCTCACTAATCTGCCAGACGTGCCTATAGCTAAGGCAAATTACCACAATGACTACATCACATTGCCTGGTCCGGTTACTGTGCTGACCATACAAATGGCAATTATTACAAAAGTTGTCATAACTTTTAATACTGCAGCTTTCAGGCCGTTGTCATTTCTTTGTTCTTCTAAATCTGAATTAATTTCTTTAATTTGTATGTTTCTAATAATTGCATTAAATAGTCCAAAGTCATAATCAGTTTAATAATTGCATTAGATAGTCCAAAGTCATAATAAGTTTTGTTTCATGCAAGCCTCATTGGCCAATCGATCAACAAAGTCATGTTTTTCAACTCCAACATGGCTCTCTCTCACGTCTGAATGGGAGGTCCTAGGAACTTTGTGAGAGCGATAGGGCCTACAACCTCCGGAGGGATTAATTTAATTTAAGGCCACCTCAATTGCTTACTGATCATCCACCAACCGACTAGTATACTTTACTCGTGTAAACTCAGCGTATAAACAGTTGGGTACATCTATGTATATAACCCTTGCCAAGGAACCTTATGAAGATTCTAATACCAACACGTCTACACGTGAACATTTTTCCTCACACGTTAACTACCTCTTTGGCGAGACTAATTGAGGGAGGTGTTCATCGGCTGACGTCCCAATATTTTAGCGGGAGTAGGAAGGGGGGGGGGGCGAGCCTAGTATGGGGGTTGCCTGAAACTTGCATGGGGGGGGGAGGGGCGGCCTATTTTGTTCTAATGACAGAAAAATCTTATGTACAATGGGAAAAACAGTACAGTATAAAACAAGTTGTGCTGTGAAGAGATTATGATTGTTTTGTATATAACCTGCAGCAGATGGTAGATATTAAGAGGTCAGATTATTATTGTGCCATCTCAACTAGGATAAGGAGCAAAATTATTCTATTCTATTATGTCAGCTGATAACGTATCCAAAGTCTCAAGGTTCATTAAAACTGGTCTTAAAATTGTTATAATGTTTAATGTTTGGGTGTACCTCATACGTTTACGTTACATATTCAATATATAGTTTTATATTTTGCCACTTTGAGAATGTGTATTCCAGTCAAGTGTTGTCACTAATATTGTTTTCTGTTTCAAGAGCGTCTTGTGGTCATTGGTCATTATGGAGGAGGATGACCCTGTCTCGCACATTCTGGCGCCCAACAGATACACGCAGTTGGAATAACGAGAGCATTATTCTCCCATTTTGACAAGCAAATAGAATTAGGCAATCGCTTTACATGGCATGGCTGAATAAATATTAATGGCCACGACATGTATTACAGTGAGCTATGGTTATGCTGTTGACGAACAATCATTACCGCCTTAACACGTGTCGTAATTGCCTGTTCCCCTGAACAAGGTCCATGAATCCTCATTAGCTGTCTTGCATGAGGCCGAACCGTTTATTACCAAACCCGCGAGAAACAATGTGGGATTTTATGGGATTAGCGTGTGGTGGTGCCATGGTGGCATACCACCAAGTACAGCCGTCCTCACTGACATCTCTCGCTCCCGTATGGTCTGCCACCCACACTTTTGTGGAGCGGTGAGGTTCTTGACGCCACCATGCCCACCCTGTGAACACCTGACGCCACCATGCCCACCCTGTGAACACCTGACGCCACCGTGCCCACCCTGTGAACACCTGACGCCACCGTGCCCACCCTGTGAACACCTGACGCCACCGTGCCCACCCTGTGAACACCTGACGCCACCGTGCCCACCCTGTGAACACCTGACGCCACCGTGCCCACCCTGTGAACACCTGACGCCACCGTGCCCACCCTGTGAACACCTGACGCCACCGTGCCCACCCTGTGAACACCTGACGCCACCGTGCCCACCCTGTGAACACCTGACGCCACCGTGCCCACCCTGTGAACACCTGACGCCACCGTGCCCACCCTGTGAACACCTGACGCCACCGTGCCCACCCTGTGAACACCTGACGCCACCGTGCCCACCCTGTGAACACCTGACGCCACCGTGCCCACCCTGTGAACACCTGACGCCACCGTGCCCACCCTGTGAACACCTGACGCCACCGTGCCCACCCTGTGAACACCTGACGCCACCGTGCCCACCCTGTGAACACCTGACGCCACCGTGCCCACCCTGTGAACACCTGACGCCACCGTGCCCACCCTGTGAACACCTGACGCCACCGTGCCCACCCTGTGAACACCTGACGCCACCGTGCCCACCCTGTGAACACCTGACGCCACCGTGCCCACCCTGTGAACACCTGACGCCACCGTGCCCACCCTGTGAACACCTGACGCCACCGTGCCCACCCTGTGAACACCTGACGCCACCGTGCCCACCCTGTGAACACCTGACGCCACCGTGCCCACCCTGTGAACACCTGACGCCACCGTGCCCACCCTGTGAACACCTGACGCCACCGTGCCCACCCTGTGAACACCTGACGCCACCGTGCCCACCCTGTGAACACCTGACGCCACCGTGCCCACCTGACGCCACCGTGCCCACCCTGTGAACACCTCACGCCACCGTGCCCACCCTGTGAACACCTGACGCCACCGTGCCCACCCTATGAACACCTGACGCCACCGTGCCCACCCTATGAACACCTGACGCCACCGTGCCCACCCTGTGAACACCTGACGCCACCACCCTACTACCGCTACTACCCGAGATGCTTTCGGGGCTTACCGTCTCTGCGGCCCGGTCGTCAACCAGGCCTCCTCGTTGCTAGGCTGTTGGAAGCGGCTGCTCGCAGCCTTCCAAAACTTATACTACAATAATGTCGCTACATTATAATAAACTAGAACTAGCAAAATACCCAATAAAGTACTGAACTCAATAACTCCAACAAAAGTTAAGAAACAGTGTACCTTTGCAAGCACAGCAGTGTACACGCAAGTGAGATTAGCTGCTGTGGGATTAGTTGAGAGGCAGGATCAAAGTGCCGAAGCTTAACCCCCGCAAGCACAAACAGGTGAGTACAAGCCGAGTATTAGTGCAAGCATAGTAGTGAACGTACGCAGGCACAGCAGTGACCGTGCACAAGAATGTAGGTTTTACAGAAAAAAAACTTGCACACACTGTGTTAGGTTAAACAACTGGCCGATCTCTACACAGGGCTGACTGCACTACAACTAGCTACCAGAACATTAAGAGAGACAGGAGGAGGAATAATATGTAATTTCAAGTGCTCTTTAGGTACTTGAAAATTTTTCCTGCACTACTAACAGCATGAACCTCTTAACTCCAATTATAAGTGACCTGATCGCTGCACAAAATAAAGGTCTTAAGAGTTTCTTTTGTATGGATACCATCTCATAAATATAACCCATTATAATGGCACAGACATTGCAGCCAAATTAGTGTTTAACAAATATAAAGATAAATTAGACCTAGGTATCCCCATCTCTGCTGTCAAGACTATTGTTCCAAACACTCAGGTCTGATAGAGAAATTACAGACTCCTAAAGACCTGAAAGCGCTTATATAAAATGTAATGATTTGTATAATTCCGAAACTTATGTTTATAGGCAGCACACGTACACCAGGAAGCACCCCGAAGCAGCTGTCCAACTCCCAAGTACCTAGTTATTGCTAGGTGAACAAGTACATCAGGGTGAAACAAACTATGCCCATTTGTTTCCGCAGGCGCCAGGGATCGAACCCCGACCCTTAGGACTATAAATCCCGAACGCTCTGCACTCATCCACCAGAATAACATGATTATTCACTGCCCGATACCGTACGTCAGGAATCTGGTCCCTTCAATACACATTTTTGTTTCATACCTTCAAGGTTATAATGTTCAAGCACCTTAGGTAGGTGACCCCAAGACTGATTAATAATACTACAATTTGTATAGCCTATCCATCATCCCTTAGTAATTGAAAACAATAGGCGAGCATCAATTACATCACGCAATCTGCCAATCAATACTGATTTCCCCTGGTTCAGCACAGATGACTTGGCACTCTTATTCTTCATAAACATCAATGATCCATCCAACACGTCAAAACTCCTTAAACCAGTACTATTTGCAGAATGTACTATCTTTATGTTTTTTAAAGTCACACACTGCTATATATAACAAAAGTACGCACTTTAATGACCAATAAATTTACACTGAAGACAATAAAATTATTATTTTCAAACAAATTTCTAGCCAAATAGATGTAAAAATATTAAATACTCTGCAAAGATTAAATGTTGAATAGAATGAACATTTCTAGACTTACATATTGCCAAAAAACTTTACTTCAGAAATCATATTTAACGTAAATAAAGTATCATACGTGTCATAAAAAACTGTCTTCAGGCAACATACTGTACTAAACTTATTTAAATATCTATCCATACTAAACAACCAAGTTCTATCACACATTTTTTCTTAATATAACAAAGTCATATAATGACTGTGCAAACCAAAATCTAAAACTCTCTTTTAGGGACGCAACAATGCTCTGCGTCAACCAGAAAATAAATACTGTTACCTGTATGACGTCCAAGTGTTTGACTCAACCAAGAAGCAAAATCAACAAATATGAAGACCGATAATATGAGTCTCCTATGATTTAAAAGTGTGAAAAATTTAATGTTAAAAAATATACCATGAAGCACTTAATAAATAATCCCTTATTTATCATATAAAAACTATCATATCTTACTATCAACTATCAAACAACTATCTTAAAATCATTACTTCTAAATATTTATGTAACATGTGTATTGTGTGCCAAACATTCCCTGTGCCAAACATAACCACTATAATGCTATTTTTGAATTATCATCAAAAAGTTGAATTCATTTACGCTCTGAATTCATTGTCATTCCTCTTAACGAGCTGCACCTATTATATAATCATAAATATTTAATTATTGATAGCGCATTACATAGGTTAGTTTTATAATTGCTACATTATTATTAATTTCATATAATTGTACTACAGCACATGTTCAATATTTAGCCTAAACAACAGAATCTTTAGATACAGTATGACTTCAGGGGGCGTTATAGTTTTTTTTAAACTTTGTTCAATGTCAACCAATATTTTGTGACTAGTTGTATATGAAAAGGGCTGCAATTGTTCCAAGTACTGCAGCCTAAATAGAAAGGGAGATTTAATTTTTTTTTCAACATATATTACACATTTTCGAGTTGAAACCTTGCACCTTTTCAGATATAATCATTCTATGACACTTTTCTGACACATTAGCATTAAATAAAGGATCTGTAGAAGGAAATTTTCCAAAACATCTTTAGTTTTACTAATACAAATAGTCAAAGTTCCTCCCCCAAAAAAATTATGCAAATATATCATGTTTATTGCTATTTATAAAATCAATAAATGAAATTAGGAAAAAACGCTTCCTTCAGATTTTAGAGACAAACTTTACATATAAGGTGTACGTTTCATGTAAATTTAATAAAAATAAAAGAGTGCCAACTCGTTTATGTTACTTGAAAAATAAATCTTTAAAATATTAAAGTCTAAGGTGCTGCCATCTTTGGCTGAGGTTGACATCAACCAATTTCCTCCAAAATTGGCACCCTTACAGATAGGCTTACGTGCAGTCAGGTGTATAAGTTTCATGCAAATCGCCCGATAAATAAATAAGTAAAATTAAAAAAAAAAAGTTAACTAATTTTTTTTAATAAAACTAATTATAATTTGTTTTTTAATACACGGTATGCTATTGTGATAGCTGAGAGTCATAGACATGATTTCAGTTGACAATTTTGTTTGATAATCGTTTTGCCGGTGATATGGAAAATTTGTTTACTGAGAATTATATAAAATATATATAAATGTAATAATTTCCCCTGCATTTTAATGTAAATTTATTCTCCAATTTTTGTAAATCGTTTATAGGTAAATAAGTATAACATTCAGGGTTTTTTTTTTTTAAAGATCTTGTTCTGTACTACTGAAACACTTGTTCACTAAGAATTGCAATGTATAATTGCCTTGTAAAACTTATGTATATGTAATTTATATTGCATATTTTTAAATAAAGATAAAAAAAATTTGGAAAATTTTTGACAAGTCAATATTTTTCTCTCCCTTCCTATTTATGCTACGATACTGAGACTTGGACCAAATGAAACACTTTTTATATACAACTTGTCAAAAAAGTTTGAAATCGAACTAGTTTTCATTTATTGCATATTTTTGGCATATTTGGAACTAACGCCCTTTTCAACTTTAATCTGTTAAATAAATTTTACATTACCCAAGGTAAATTCAGTTAAGAGTTTTACCTATATTTTTACTCTTGGTATTTTTTTTCGTATTAGGCTTAAGGACTATCAACCTCGGGAGGGTTATATTAGGAACACAACCATTGTTTACTGACCAACCTGAAAGAATACGTTAGACCTGATCATTGTCCTGGACTAAACTCTCAATGTATATACACTGAGAAGCAGAGTATATACAACTCTGTGTATACATTCTTGTATAATTTCTTTACATTTATTAATAAATGTTCCTATCGCAAATGTTATTAATTCCCTACAATATATTCATATATAAGTGTTAAGCAGCGACACTTCTTACCATACCATTATCATTATAAATACTGTTAGATTTCACTACTTTCTGTATTTGGTATTTCAGTTTGTAATTACAGTATTTATGAAAAAATTGTTTGAAACAATCATAATTTTAAGTTTTAGAATTATTGCAATCTTTACACAAGTTGAACTATTTGTTTAATTTATTACATTTCATGCCACAAAGTCAGTACACCATAACTTAGAACGGCCTTATCTAAATCTAATGCACGTTAGATTAGAGATGTTACCATTAGATATATCTAGAATGCTGTTTAGTTTTGGGTCAAAGACCAATCAACACAGGGTTATTAAGGCCTTCACAAGAGCCTATGATCAATCAGATTAATTTGGTCTTGAACACAATTCATTACTTAAATATACTGTATGAACCGAGAATCAGTGGTTCTTTATTGCATCTTAGACCTCTGTGATTCTCTTAGCTAATGTTCTCGCACAAATTATGTTTATTTATAAATATACGTGATAAAACAGTACACTACAAAAGTTACCGAGCTTGTTCTTAGTTTATGTTTGGCATTATTTAATGTATTACAAAAGTGGCATGTCTGGCGCACCCACGCCTGGGAACCACTGGTGGGTTGTGTGTCTGACGCAACACTGCAGCACGAGGCTCTTATTTTCTAGCCCATTTTTTTGGTAGTACTTATAATAACGATGAGGACCATAGTATATATACCGATGTACAACGAAATTAGAAAGTAGAAATCTGAACTATTGAGTTGGACAAATAGGAAAACTATTTTTTACTTGGGTTTGCAAAGACAAACTAAACCTAACCTAACCTTCCTTGGCCAAAACGATATCTGAGGCCTAATACAGTACATGTGTGCTATACCAGGCCTAGGAATATTTCAGTTAGTTTTTAGCTTCATTTATTTAAAAAGAATTCCTTACTAGTCAGTATACTACTATCTAAACAGGAGGATGGCTTCCATTTTCACTACTACAGTACTAATACTTCTATGTAACG